GCCTCCTCAGCGCCGAGCGCCTTTGGCCAGCGAGCGGGCTCACCATTCCCTTCCTGGATGGCGACCCTCGCCTTCATACGAGGAGCGGCTTCATCAGCGCCGTCGTCCTCAGATCACGGCAGACCCCCCCGGTCTCAACGTGATCCTTCATCTCAAGACTGGCCTCCTCAGCGCCGAGCGTCTTGAGCTTGCGAGCGGGCTCGCCATTCCCTTCCTGGATGGCGACCCTCACCTTCATATGAGGAGCGGCTTCATCGGCGCCGTCATCCTCAAATCACGCCAGACCCCCCGGTCTCAACGTGATCCTTCATCCCAAGACCGGCCTCCTCAGCGCCGAGCGTCTTGAGCTTGCGAGCGGGCTCGCCATTCCCATCCTGGATGGCGACCCTCGCCTTCATACGAGGAGCGGCTTCATCAGCGCCGTCGTCCTCAGATCACGGCAGACCCCCCCGATCTCAACGTGATCCTTCGTCTCAAGACCGGCCTCCTCAGCGCCGAGCGCCTTTGGCCAGCGAGCGGGCTCGCCATTCCCTTCCTGGATGGCGACCCTCGCCTTCATAAGAGGAGCGGCTTCATCAGCGTCGTCGTCCTCAGATCACGGCAGACCCCCCCGGTCTCAACGTGATCCTTCATCTCAAGACCGGCCTCCTCAGCGCCGAGCGTCTTGAGCTTGCGAGCGGGCTCGCCATTCCCTTCCTGGATGGCGACCCTCACCTTCATATGAGGAGCGGCTTCATCAGCGCCGTCGTCCTCAAATCACGGCAGACCCCCCGGTCTCAACGTGATCCTTCATCTCAAGACCGGCCTCCTCAGCGCCGAGCGTCTTGAGCTTGCGAGCGGGCTCGCCATTCCCTTCCTGGATGTCGACCCTCATCCTCAAAATGAACGGCCCCTCGGCCTCAACGTGGTTATCTATCTCAAGGCCGGTATCCTCAGCACCGAGAGCCTTGAGTTTACATGACGAACGGCTTCATCAAATGCCTTCGTCATCATTTATTTGGACCGGCTTCATCAGCACTGTCGTCCTCAAATCATGCCCGACCCCTCGGCCAAGGCATGATCATCTATCTCAAGACCGGCTTCCTCAGCGCCGAGAGTCTTGAGCCAGCGATCGGGCTCACCATCCCTTCCTGGATGGTGACCATCGCCACTACATGACGCACGGCTTCACCAACGCCTCGTCATCATTTACTTGGATCAGCTTCATCATAGCTGTCATCCTCAAGTCAAGCCTGGTCCCTCGGCCTTGGCGTGATCATCTATGTCAAGACCGGTCTTAGCCATTCCTTTATCGGATGGCGACCGTTGCATGGATTGAAGGAACGGCTCCTCATCGCCGTCATCTTCACATCACGACCAGCCCCTCGGCCATGGTGTGATGCTCTATCTTAAGACCGGTCTTAGCCATTCCTTTACCGGATGGCGACCGTTGCATGGATTTCGGACCGGCCCCCAGTGCCGTCGTCCTCATATCTCGAGACCGGCTCCCAACGCCGAGGTACTGTTATAGCGACCGAGCTCGCAATTCCCTTCCTGGACAGCGACCGTCGCCTTCATATGACGCATGGATCATTACCATCGTCGTCCTCACATTCAGACAGGCATCCATCGCCTCGTCCTCATATTCGGACCGGCTCATCAGCGCCATCGTCCTCACCTCCAGGCGGGCGTCCTCTCATCAGACGGACACCGCTTCAGCTCCACACCTAGGCCGAAGGGTTCACCCCTTGGAGTTCATTTTGGGGGATCCGGTGTGCTCTTTTTCCCTCATTAGGATTTTTTCCCACAGGGTTTTTCCTAGTGAGGTTTTTAATGAGGCATCACCCCATTGTGGATAAAAAGGTGTCGACCCTCGGCCCCCAATCGAAGACGTGTATTGCTCTACTCCTCTTCACCTCACTACATGAGTCTCGAGGAGTGGGGGACTGGGGGACTACATCGGCCTCCACATACATGAAATCATCCAGAAAGCAACAAAAAGCAAGGACTACCAAGTGGTACCTCCGTCGGCCATGTCTCCATCGGCCAGAAGAAGGTCTGGGGGACTACATCGGCCTCCAGCGTAAAGAAACAAATTCAAAATCCAACGAACACAAGCCCATGACAATGGCACCTCAACGTCCAACAACCATGTGTTCACCCTTCGGCCAGGCCGAAGCGCAAAGCAGGACACACATCGTCCTAAAGATCAAGGGCACGTGTCGTCCTCAAAGCCAAGGACACTCCTCGTCCTCAAGGCCAATGGCACGCATCGTCTCCGGGACTATGACATTCATCATCCATATCACGAACAAAACGAACGCGCCACGAATGTCCGCAAGCGTAAGGTCCATCAATTAAAGTCAAAAACACAAGGGCATGACATCCTTCGTCCACAGAGCCAAGGGCGCACAACGTCCTCTGGTCCAGGACCCTCATCGTCCTCAAGATGAAGGACATTCATCTTCCTCGAAACAAAGGACACTCATCGTCCTCAAACAAGAGATAACCACAATGGCTTCATCAGACCAAAAGGGAAGTTCAAACCATCAACGACCAAGGATAGACACTACCTTCGTCGGCCACTCATTGTCCGCAAACAAGCGCATCAAAGGAGTAACAGCCTTCCTCGTCCACATCAAGGAACGGGTAACGGCCAAACTCAGAACAGGGCCACCAAACGCCACGACAGGGAACAGCCAACGTGGTCCCGCATCGGCCAAGAGCATCAAGCACAGAAATCTACTCTCCTTCACTTCGTCTACATCTCAGCTTAGAGAGTGGGGGACTCCTGATGGAGTATATGGGTCTAGGCCTCAGGACCCACATACTCAGAAGAACAGAAGGTACCATGATCACTGGGTGACCTCATCGGCCAGGAAAAGATCTATCCAGAATGTGATCCAGAAGCCCAGAGAACCGGGTGCCCTCATCGGCCATGCCCTCATCGGCCAGGAAAAGGTCTACTCAGAATATGATCCAGAAGCCCGGAGAACCGGGTGCCCTCATCGGCCATGCTCTCATCGGCCATGCCCTCATCGGCCAAGAAAAGGTCTACTCAGTATATGATCCAGAAGCTCGGAGAACCGGGTGCCCTCATCGGCCAGAAAGAAGGCCACCTAGAATATGATACAGAAGCCCGGAGAACCGGGTGCCCTCATCGGCCATGCCCTCATCGGCCATGCCCTCATCGGCCGAGGTACTCATCGGCCATGCCCTCGTCGGCCATGCCCTCGTCGGCCACGGAAGTCTCACAGAACCGGATTTTACACTTATTCATTTGTATAGCCCACCAGTGCCTTTGTATTCGGCCCAATAGCGGTCCAGTTGTAAATGGGCCTCCCAAGCCCAAGACTTGGGAGCCCAACCCGTATTTTCTCTATAAATACTCCCCTTGGGAGTAGTTGTAAGGGTTCACAAAATTCATTAATACAATCCACTTCTATCTCTAGCTCTCCCTTCTCTCTAGAATCTAGGAGACATATACTCTATCATTTGGTGCTCTCGTTGAGAGCTAGAACAATCAAGTTAGCATCCTTCGTCGCTACCAAGCACAGCTAACCACTGATCATGGGAAGAACTAGGTCAAACCGCAACCTCGTCAGCAAGGCCATCCCTGAGGATCAGGAGAACAGAGAACACGAGGAGGACGCCACGGCCGACAAGGCCGCCGAGGGGGATGTCTTCCAGGAAGCCATCGGCCTCGCAGGTGACCTGCGCAACAAGCTCAACGGCGGCGCCCCTGACGCCCGCATCGGCTTGGACAAGAAGCGTGCAGAGAAAGGTGACAATGCCTCGGCGCAACCGGCCTCTCCTTCCGTTGACCCTCAGCTTCAGGCCGCGCTCTCGGCCATCATCGCCAGCTTGGCCCAGAACCCCACCGTCCTCAACGCACTCATGCCAAGGACTAGGGAGAACACTACACCGCCTCCTCAGCCCCAGCCGTTGGCCATCAGGTTGGGCAACGACGAAGGGGTGGTGCCCCAGGACACGTCGTCATCCCACTCCCACCCTGCTTCCCCACTTTAAGCTGGACCGGCCCCAGCGCGTGGAAAAGCCTCAACCTTTAATAGGCTAGGTGACACGCGTCGTCGGCCTGCTTCAGAGAGGATGGCGGGACGGATTGGTGAACGTGAGCCTGGCTCACCAAGGGAAAGCTTGGGGTCCGTATCCCGGACAGCGGATCGGCCCCGCATCGACAAAGGCAAAGGAAAATTGCACGAGGACAATGTGTGTCATCGAATCAACACGACTCAAGAAGCTCGCGTGCGCAACCAGCAAGGCACCACTACGGCCGCCAAGGACCCTCGGGACGAGGTCATCGCCCAGCTGGAAAGGAGACTGGCCCAGATGGAGGCTAGACAGCTGTAAATAAGAGAAGATATATGACGAAAGTACCTTCATATTATGCCATTTGATCAGCTTGCCACGACCCTTTTGTGTAGACGCAACTCTATACATCCTATAATGATAATTAAGTTCAATGTATATATATATATATATATATATATATATATATATATATATATATATATATATATATATATATATATATATATGCTCAATGTTGACATACAAGTATAAATGTTAATTATAAATGTTAAATATCACAACTAAATCATTAAAAATACATACATCGTAAGATCTTTTTGAATAGCAATATTGGAATAACTTGGCAATGAATTGAAAATATAGCTCTTATCAACCTTTGGACAAATTACAAACAAAACCCAATGATACCTATATTTCCAAAGAGAATAGAAAATGGGTTAATATTTCATATGTCACGATCAATAAATATAATATGTAAAAGCGAATGTAATATATGAATCATACCCTTCCTTATATGCCAAGAGAATGATATTCTTTTCAAACATTTCAGTCAGAGCATGCTTCATGTAAGTCAGTGTGCCCTTTTTATCCAATTTATAATACTTAAAAGAACAAATCCAAGGACACAAAAGACCCACATCATCACGACCAAACTCAATCAGTTTTGCATTTACACAACTACATGCATGTGAAATTATAATATTAATAATTAGTCAATAGTAAATAAGTCTAACAAATATTCAAGAGTGCTTGTAAACTTATTATAATACTTAAAGGTCTGAATAATTGAAATATCGACAGAATCACTCTCAAGAAATTGACTCAAGTCTTCACGGTCAACAACGGTCCCAAATTGGTGATCATCAATATAACAGAACAACTCCGCAGGAAGAGGAATAGAAAACTTACAAAGATCGGGCTCATACCACTCAAGATTTTCATGCAATCTTAAAAGATCATCTGTAAGTGAATGAAGAACAGTTTCACTAACCAATGAATGTGAGCTGGGTTCAACCGTTACTTTTGGTGAATCTCTCACGATAAAGGGTACTTTTTTCTTAGCTCCATCCTCCTTTTTTGACTTAGACGGTGGTTCCTAAAATAATTATTACATAAAAATGTATGAAAGAATTTCAAATCGAAATAAGCAACAAAAGCAAAAAATATGAAACAATAACTTCATTACCTCTCCCTCAAAAAAACCAAATGAGATGGCCATTGAACATATGAACCTACAGCGTCTGCTACAACATTCATATCAGCGGCTTCATTAGGATAAAGCAATGGACAATCTTCAAACTCTCGATATGCCATACATATGTTCACTTTGATTGTGTTTTCACACATCGGTACATTATGGATTAACGACCCAACAGGCGTGTTGTAGGCTACAGCCATGGCCACAAAGTCCAAACTCTTATCACCAGGATGAGTGTGTGACTCAACAGCAAGCCTACAAGATGCACCATCCTGCATGTATGTATGTACACATACAAATGAAAACTAAAACATTTTCTACATAAATAATTAATAAAATGTTACTTACAATGAATGTTTTTTTAAGATGGGGTGCAGCAGAGTTCATAGTATCCACGTGGGTCGCCTCGGAAGCAGGCATTGAATCCCCGATAGGCACTTCACTTCTTGGAACAAAGTAATGTTGCATGTCTTTCATCAAACGCTCTTGCAACTGCTTTATGTCAACATCACTCAAATTACCAACCTTATCTCGATGTGTGCTTCTCGACTCTCGATCAAAGACATGTGTACAGCCCACACCATCACCGACGCCACGTGCACGTCCAGGGTAATCAGGCTTCCCAACAACCTCCGTCAATATATCATGTCGACCACTTGGCTTCCACGTTCCTGCTGCTACATCTTCTTGAAGTTTATCCTAGTACAGAAGCAATAGAATTTAATGTTAAAAAATAAACATGATTTAATTATATGAGCATACATATACTAACTATAACTTACCAACTTCTCTTTTTTCTCGTGCATGCCCTCAGTATTACCAGGAAACATGATGTGACCGTCCGCTGTTAATACAGACCTTGCACAAAACCAAGTGACATGTCTTGGAATATCACCAGAAGTGGTTGTGCTAGAGTTCGTTGAATCTACTTCCGAACCGGTAAGAAACTGATCTAATAATCCTTGCTCTTTCCATTTCGGTATGGAAAGAACATATCCTGAACGACCCATATGATGAGGATAGATATTCTGAAGTGCAGCTTGTTTATTCTTCTCGCTCAAAGCCTATTCAATGTTTCATAAATATTAAACAACTACTTAATTAAAATATTGAAAATTTTTAATTCTATGACATACCACAAACTCAGGAGTCATAGTCTTTGCCACGAAACTATCCCACTCTTCTTTGGTAAGTTGGTCTTTATACTTCTCAAAAGCTTCCCCACAATCCTTTCCCACTTGACGAGTCTTATTTATGAAACCCGATCGCAATCGATTTCTCCAATCTCGGTGCATTTTGCCCAACTTTTTCAATAATGGTTTTTTCATATTATCCTCCACAGCATAGTCATGCTGCATGATAACATCAAAAATAAGTGTTAGCATATATTATATAGTGAAATGAAGATACATATTTCGGCTAATAAAATTGGAGATTTTGTAGGTACCTGTATCTCTTTAAAGATTTGATCTTTATTCGTTTTTGAAACTTTCTTCCAACTATCAATGTTTATACTCACTCGGGAATGTACCATCTTTCCCAAGAATGATTTAAACTCTTCAGCCCACTCACCGATGACAACATCGGTATCAGCAAATTCAATTATTTTTCGCCCCTCGCTGTCTCTTTGACCGCCACCGCCGCCATGAGGATCTTGATTATGACCAGGCTCATCTCCGTCGTCGTCGCTCATAGTGTGTACCTGCAATTCATAAGCATGCATAATGATTAATAATAATTCAATATTAAATATAACTTACAATTCAGTATTAAATTACTTAACTCAAAACAACTTACAATTCCTCACTTAGCTTTTTCCGTTAACGCTTCAATGCCATCATTATGGTGTGCGATAAAGGGAAGATCATCCTCATTGTGATCATATCTTATGTTTGTTTCACGCATCCCGATGGATAATGAGGGCATTTCCTCAACATAATCATCTTCCTCATCCTCAAAATTACATGTAATCTTTTTCTTGCCGGGTAAACAAATGGACCATCGTTCATTTGAAGGATCTTTTACATAAAACACTTGTTCGGTCTGTGATGCAAGTATGAACGGATCACCACGATGTCTTGATCGGTTAAAATCTACTAATGTGACTCCAGTGTCATCACATTGCACCCCTCGACGAATGTCAACCCATTGACACTTGCAAATGGCAAAAGATCGAGCTGTGTAATTTAACTCCCAAATGTCTTCTATTTTTCCATAGTAAGACAACCTTGCATTTAATGGATCTTGATCATTTGCACTAGCATACTCAGTCGAAGATGCTATCACAGACACACCACTATTATGTAACACTGACTTCTCATCTTGTCTGGTAGTATAAAAAGTGTAGCCATTGATATCATATGCTTCAAAAGAATCAATTGGTCGTTTAGGACCATAGGCCAACCACTTAATATCATCATCAACATCATAGTACACATTATCAGTGTCATTGAAAATTAAATCCCTAAACCAAGATGCAAAGGTTCGGTTATGTTCTTTAGTCAACCAGATTTCACTTTTCAAAGGAAACTGGGATCTCAAGACATTCATATGTTGTTGCACATAAGGATAAACTACTTCAAGATGATGCAATACGATAAGATGAGTCTTTCCCAACAAATCATTATCCACATTCTGTACTTGTTTCTTCCCAAGAGTGCCCTTTGCTTCAAGTCTGTCATCATGTCTAGACTTTGGTACTCCCAAAGATTCCACATTAGTTAAATATGGCGTACAAAATTCAATGACTTCTTCATCAATTAAACCTCTGATGATGCTACCTTCCGGTCGACAACGGTTTTTTACTTTTGATTTTAAATACCCCATGTGTCTCTCCATTCCGTACATGTACCTCAATAACACCGGTCCACACATCTTTACCTCTCTGACTAAGTGCACAACAAGATGCACCATAATGTCAAACAATGATGGCGGAAAGTACATCTCGAATTGACATAATGTAACAACCACTTCTGATTGCAAAGCATCAAGTTTCTCTGGATGAATTACTTTCTGGCATATGGAATTGAAGAAGAAACTCAACCTCATAATGGCATGCCGAACATGATCAGGTAGAAGACCTCTTAAAGCAACAGGTAACAAGTGTTGCATCAAAACATGATAGTCGTGGGACTTCAACCCAATCAATTTCATATCTTGTAGTGATACAAGATTTCTAATATTAGATGCATACCCTGATGGCACCTTTATCCCATGTAAGCACTCACAGAAACTTTTTTTCTCGGCCTTTGATAATGTATAGCTGCCTGGTGGAAGAAAAAATCCATTCTCACGTGGTTGTGGTGCTAATTCTTTCCGAATATTCAGATGTTAAACCATGTCTTTGCGAATATTTGTGCCGTCTTTTGACTTTCCAGGAACATTCAAAATAGTCGAAATGATGCTGTCACACACATTCTTTTCAATGTGCATGAGATCAAGATAGTGCCTTACTGATAGGTCTTTCCAATAAGGAAGCTCCCAAAATATAGATTTCTTTTTCCAAAGGCTCTGCTTGTTCCGCTTATAAGGTTTTCCAAAGATTGTGTTCAAATCTTTCACCCTATCATACACATCATGACCATTTAATGGTGGACGAGCTACTTCATGCTCAGTTTTTCCGTTAAATTCCTTCTTCAATGCACGATAACGATGAGTGCACGGAAGAAACCTTCGATGATTCAAGTAAACATTTTTTTTGCAGTGAGGTAATCGCAAATCAACTGTATCATCTTCACATATAGGACCTGCTTTTGCACCTTTGACTGTGTAACCTGAAAGATTGCCATATGCTGGAAAATCATTTATAGTGCAATACAACATAGCACGCATTTGAAAATAAGATTTGGTATGCATGTCGTATGTTGTAACACCTTCGGTCCACAGCAGTTTGAGATCATCAATAAGCGGTGCAAGGTACACGTCAATATCATTACCCGGTTGTTTGGGTCCCGAGATAAGACGAGACAACATGATGTATTTGCGTTTCATGCACAACCATGAAGGCAAATTGTAAATAACCAATAGAACTGGCCAAGTGTTGTGTTGACTACTGAGTGTACCATATGGATTCATACCATCAGTGCATAGGCCAAGTCTCAAATTTCTGTCCTCTCTGCCGAATTCAGGATATTTCAAGTCAATTTGCCTCCATTGCGGAGAATCAGACACATGACGCAAGTACTCATCTTTTTTTCTACCCTGAGAATGCCAAACTAAATGTTTGGAATCTTTTGCATTCATGAATAACCTTTTAAATCTCGGAATAATGGGGAGATACCACATAACTTTTGCAGGAATTTTGGAATACTCAGTGTCACTAACACTATTTGTACTCCTTTTTGCCTTATAGAGAGAAATATGACATGTTGGACATTCATCAAGATTTTCGTGCTCATTCCGGTACAACACGAAATCATTGGGACAAGCGTGGAATTTCTCCCATTCAGCTCCCATAGGACACAATAACTTTCTTGCCTTGTAAGTGGTATCAGGAAGTGTATTCCCTTCGGGCAACATCTCATTAATTAATGTCAATAACTCTGTGAAACTGACATTACTCCATCCATGTTTCGCTTTCAAATGAAATAACTTCAAAACCGCAGACAGCTTGGTAAAAGTAGAGGTAGAATACAAAGGTATTCTGGCGGCATCAACCATACTTTCATATGATTTTGGTTTTTGTTCAAAATTATCATGTACATCCTTCAAAAACTCATCCATGTGATCATCATTGAAATCATCATCCCCATTATTTTCATTGTTCCAATTTAAGTTGGTGGTATTATCGGGGGCTTTGCGCTTTAAATTACTAGCGGCGGCTCGCGGAACAACATTCCCACCATCCTGGAAAGTCTCTCCATGTAAAGTCCAAATGATGTAATTTTCTCTAAAGCCTCTCTCAAACAGATGTTGAAGTATAACATTGGTGTCACTCTCTCTTCTCAAGTTCCGGCACTTTAAACAAGGACATAAAATTCCTTTATGTCAATGTTGTTTCTGGTGTGTAACGGCAACTTTGATGAACCCATTCGCACCAATGAAAAACTCAGACGTGTCTCGACGTCCATACATCCAAGAACGGTCCATTTTGAACGAAATTCTACATTTGTCCAAAAAATAATATATCATATAATGTGCATATAAGCAATATCATATACTCCCTCCGTTTCCAAAAGAAAGTCACGGTTTGACTTCACGATTATTAAGGAAATAAATTGACTTTACTGTAGAAAACACTATTTAGACACTCTTTGGCACTATTTGGATCTGTTTGGCACTGTTTGGATGTAGATTTCTTTGCCAAATAAGGAAATAAGGGAAGTGTGACTTTGTTTTTGAAACATCTCAACAAGGAAAGTGTGAGTTTCTTTTAGAAACGGAGGGAGTATTTGCTAACTGCTATATTCGTGCTCAATAAACATTTTGTTTTGTGGAAGTGAACAAGTCTTATATTCAGGGAGATTAGTTGAATTTATGAAATACTTGTTGAAGTGTAAAAATAATAAATACAGAATGCTATGCCATCTTTGTATGATGTCGGGACTTGAGGTAGACACTAAAATCTTAAAAAAGCTTTTATATTGATAAAGGTAGTGAGAAAAGGGGTACAATTTCAAAAAGGATGTCCGGAATGCCGGCAAAGTACCGTTCTTTTATATTCAGAGTCTTTTTTGTAATCAGATAAGCGTTCAGGTCACATTTTCTTCTCTTTTTCTTTTCACATTAAAAAAACAAAAAGAAATACACACAATAATGTCATAATACAATAAATAAATACACATACTATAATCAAATAAAATACATTGATAACCATGTCAAATAAACAATTAATAAATTATAATTAACTGTGAGCCGAAGCGGTCCAAAAAAATCAAAGTAAAATCAAATAAAAATGAAAAACATAATATATATGCCAAAAAAATTAACAAATAAACTCACTTTTATCAATGTCAAGTATAATTCCCACTTGATTAAAAATTAAGGAAGCCTGAACATGGGAACAATGGATATCATAGGAAATATACATTAATCTGAAAACATTTAAACTAAAATTTAAACTAAAATCAAATAAAAGTGAAATCAACCAAAATATACCAAAAACTTAATTAAAAAATGAACTGACCTGCGATGCGGGCCGGAGAAGTCTGCGGAGAGCCGGCGCAGTCAATGGGGAGCTGGAGAAGTCAACAGCGTGGCGGAGTAGTTGCAGGCGTGCAGCCGAGCAACGAATCGACGGCGAGCGAGCCTACGGCAGGCGTATGACGGCGGCGAGCGTGCTGGAGAAGTCGAATAACCGAGAGAAGAAGCCGACGACAGGCGTACGTCGGCAAAGAGGAAGCAGCCGGCGGCGGTCGGTCGATAGTTTCCTTCTGGTCGCGCGGTGCGGCTGCTATTTCGGAGCTGCGTGAGTGAAGACCAGCTAGGTTTGGACGACGACCCGGCCAAAAGGGACGCAAAACTCCTGAAAAATTCCAAACTCCCTTTGTTTATCCTCTTAACTCATTCTTGTGATGGGAGAATCCCAATACATAACACATAGGGAAAGGGAAAGTTGCCAACTGGATAGAAACAATCCCTCCATACTAAAACAAAGGTCCTAGATATCTTCTATCCATCAAATTTGCTCATACCAACCCACCCACTACTACTTTCAACTCTTTTAGTTGTGAGGCTCAAACTCTAATGAAAAAGATTTCAAAAGTGATGATTTCCTATAGCATCCTAAGCACAACTAAGCAATATTAATTGAGTTCAATCTGAAGAACCATAAAATACGTTCAAATCTAATTGAAGTATAAAGCTTAATGCGGTCCAAAAATATATAAGAAACCTAAACATGTAAAATCAACCAAAATATTCCAGAACGTAATTGAAAAATGCTGACCTGCGATGCCGGCCGGAGCAGTCCACGACGAGCCGGAGCAGTCCACCGCGAGTCGAAGCCGTCGACGGCGTGTTGGAGCAGTTGCAGCCGAGCGACCAGTCGTTGGCGAGCGAGCAGGGCCGGAGAAGTCGAATAAACGGAGTTGAAGCAGCGCCCGGAAGAAGAAGACGACGGCAAGCGTACGGCGGCAGAGATGGAGCAGCCGTCGGCGGTACGTAGCAGATGCACGAAAATCCGGTGATGTTTTTCCTGTGGCGTCGGTGCGGCTGCAATGAAGCGCAGATCAATTTGGTCTCAATTAGCTTAGGGTTTATTTTTGGAGGCGCTTCTCTAATAAGCGCCGCACGCGCAGAGAAATTAATTAAAAAAAATAAAATTAGAGGCGCTTCTTTGTCTAAGCGCCGCACGCGTGGCATTAATTTTTTTAAAAAAATCGGTAAGCAAATTGGAGGCACTTCTTAGATAAAAGCGCTGCACGGTTCATAATTTTTTGGAAAACAAATTATCCCGGAAACAAAATGGAGGCGCTTTTATCCAGGAAACGCCGCACGAAATCGAAAAAAATATAAAAAATAAAATATTCCCTAACAGAGGCGCTTGTGCTGAAAAGCGCTTCAAATGAAGCGCCTCTAATTGGCGTTTTTCCACTAGTGACATGCATTGAAGCACTGCATCAAGTACAACGCCACGTCCAACCACCGCATTTAATGCGGCGTCACATCCACCCACCGCATTTAATGCGGTGCACATGCGAATGACGGTGCCACCCCGATTAAGGTGACCCCTCAGCCGTTAGAATGTTGACATGTGTATTCTCATCGCATTTATGGCTGCTATTTGGCTGCTATAAATAGCAGCCCTTATTCACCTTGTAAAGGGGACGGAGTTCATTTAATACATTTAACTCTTCAAATGCATTAATTTATTATCAATTAATTATGGTACACTATCCATCACAGCGTTTTCAATGCATGTCACTTATGGTACACTATCCATCACAGCGCATTAATTTATTATCAATTAATAAATTAACTTTTCTTTAAGTAAACTTGCCCAATAAATTAATTTTCTTTTAAGAATTTTCTGTAAATAAAAAGAACAACAATACAACTTTTACCTTTTAGTAATTCAAAATCTCGCCTGATTCTATCATATTAATTTTCTATGGACAATACTTCTAACCCATTGTAGTGTTTGTATAATAATAAGTTTCATCTTTAATTCTTAATTATTGAGATGATATTGGAACATGTGATCTCCACTTAGAGGAGAAATGAAATGTAATCACATCACAAAGTAGTTACATTTTCTCACATTTAATCAAATAGTGATATCTAGAGAGTTGACTTTTTCAATATCGTTTAACAAAACCTCAAATCTCTTTGATTAGCTAACCTTTAAGAATCCGTCATTTGAACTATTAGATTTCATTTGAACCGTCGGCCGATCATTTTCCCCGTTAAACCGTGCCAAAATATTTGAGTCGTTGGATTTACCAATTTTTTTTAATATGAAAGTGATCGGGGCGGATGACACCGTGATATCTTCATTTTCCACGAGCTCCCACTTCTCATATACCCCTCCCTAAAAAACTCCCTCAATGTCAAATAGATAGGACTCCTAAAAGAAGCACCACTACAAATGGGCTTACAGAACCATCAGTACAACCAAGAGTGATGATAGCATTTCATCCAAAATTTTGTCATGTAAAGGAAAAGCTATCACATAAAGAGGAACATACGCTCTCGTGGAACCATGGCTCAGCTTTACTGCGGCTACTAAGTTGCCCACAAACCTTTAGGAAAGGGAAATCCCATTTTTGCAACGGCTCCAAGCCAACGTCTCTCTTGGCTTTGGACCTTTGGTTTGACTTTCCTGAAGAACAAAAAGGGTGCATCTCTTTCTTGAGATTTAAGAGTTTAAATTGAATTATTCCAAACATAATTTGATTAGTAGAGGGTGAAGTCCACAACTAGTACTTAACGAGATCAATAAAGTTGGATAAAAAAGTGAACCAAACAAAATCTGATCCAAATTTAAGGCATAACGAGTACTTAAAACGATAAAAAGCTGAGCAAGGATGAAAAAGATAAAATCGTGTGCCTTGGTTTATAGTTGAAACTTTATGTTTGAAAGAGATCAATATGGCCACAACTGAAAAACAAAGTAAACCAAAACATGAAAAACATAAAACAAAATGGTCAACCTCAGTAACTAGAATCGATTTTCACTTTTAACAAAGCGAAATGTTATCTCAAAAGATAATAGCTTAATCTTTTCATGTAGGGGTTGAAAAAGATAAAACCGATTTAAGTTCTTCAAAGGATAACAAAATACAAAATGCAAACTCACATGCAAGCAAATAATTTCTTTTGTCACACACTCACTAACATGAATTATACTTCGTATTATACTAGGTAGTATTTATTCTATGTTAAATATCGATTCTTAAACTGAGATAAACTTCAATTCAGTGACTTCATTCTTAAACTATTTACATTTTTAACTGTGATACCCTCTTCCAAAAAAAAAGTGTGACACTCGAAAAGACCTCACAGATTCTCATGGCAAAAATAAAACATTTTTTTTAACTTATGGGCATATAAATGAATAATAACTATAGGAACAAAAACTGTTCTTCCAATTAAAAGCCTCATTAAATTTCCCAGTAACGCCGCTGTACACTTTCAGCAGCTTCTCCTCCCTCCATCTTTATCTTATACGGAGTATCCATTCTTTCTGCCCATTCTCTAGTCTGTACAAGATATATATCTCTCCTAAAAACTCTCTACTCGGAACTTTTCTGGTTTCCTTATTCACCATTTGAAGACAAGGAAAGAGCACTTTTGTTTTTACTACAGAGTATTTTGTTCTCCTCTTTCAATTGTGCAACCAGAAAATCGACTAGGAATGGCTTCTTCACAAGTCCAAGTCGCGGCATCGTCTTCTTCATTGAGTTACGTCCTGAGAGATCGCAACCGCCGGGACCGTTGTAGCCCCAAAGGACCCAATTCATTCCAGAAGAATCTTAAAGGTTTTGTGCATTCTTGCATTTCTCGTCAATCCAGTGACTTCAATTCCGATTCTGATGAGAACTTGTGGGTTGATAATCCCCAGCAGCATTACCTCGGCAGTCAATGGAAGGCTTCGGAAGATTGGGGGTTTTTGTCGGCGGTGGAGGGCAAAGAGCTGGACGGTTGTGAGATTTTGCGGCGACCGAAATCCGATACCTCCGCTATGGAGTTCCCGCATTCCGGCGGCGTCTCTTCCCTTGTTCGGAAATTTAGTGATTTTGTAGCGGAAGCGAAAATAAACAATTCCATCAGCAACTCCGCCGGCTACACATTTTTATCGAAGAACGTTTCGGATACGGAGGTTCCTCGGAGAGGCTCCGACGCATGCGGAGAATCTTCAATTGACGGCGGTTCCGAGATTCCTGGCAACGAAGACAACTCATTTGGGGGTTGGGATTCCGACCGGACGCCGAAGAGTGGCCCCCAGTCCGTCCGCGCGATAGATTTTGATGCCGCCATTGGCAAGGAGAGGGTCAGAGTGGCCGACATAGTAAGAAAGCTGTCATCTAGTGCTGCCGATGACGACAATCATGACAGAGAACCCAGCAGCATTAATGGCGGAAACGACGGATCTTTTATCCGCGGATCTCAGGCGGTGGCATACGGTTGTTTTCTAATGCAAGTAGAGCGGGATAGAACAATGGAGCTTGAACGACTTGTGGAGCTCAAATCCGTTTCTAAATTTAAGCAAAGAGGCCGCATTAAGGTACCGATTACTACTATCTAACTCAGTAAGCAGCAGCAGCTGAGCAGCATCTTCTTCATATTCTCGAGTGACTTCATTTAATTATAGATTGAATTTACTAAGCATCATTGTCATCACTGTAAACACAGGCCATGCTTCGCCTAATGATCTTAAGGAGGCCAGAAACAGGAAATGATCCACCATCTAGTAGCATGTCGTCTGAGTATAGTAGAAAATCAAAACCTTCAATACTGCATCTGAGGTGAGAACGTTGACAATCATTAAACTAGTGGTATTGTATGCACTCATTCTTTCAGCACTCAGCAGTAATGTAGCCTCTCTCTCCCCTAATAATCCAACTTTTATTCTCCAGAACCATACAACTTTTGCTTGCTCTCTTAGTCTCTTCTAATATGAGTCCCCATTTTAAACTTTAAACAAAAGAAACGTGATTTAATATTCTGTATATAAACTATTTATTGTATACAGAACTTTATGATTATTTACTAATTCAGATTGACTATAAAGGTGGTCTGTTGTGTGAAGCACTTAAAAAGGTTAGATATTCTCAAAAAGTGAATTGTGGGGTTGTTATAAGCAGACTACAAAAAGGTTGAATTTTTAAATTCAAGTTTTCCTATAATGTATTATTATTAAAGTTGTTTGCATGACTAAAAGTTTAATGAACTTGGGATGACCGAAGCCCGGGTTGACCCACTGGGTTCATATCTGCACACTAAATGTTATTACCTCCTTTCCAAAAAAGTGTCGTGTTCCTCTGTTTATTTTTACTCACTCTACTTGATCTTTTTACTGAGTTTATGAACAACTTTATACAGACGTTGAATGATGTAGAAAAAGTGAAAAGTATTGATGGGAAAAAGTAATTAAAAAGACATTTATGTAGTGGTATGGTACTTTTGAATTGTCATGAAAGGAAAGTAGAAAACGTAATAAAAGTTGAATAAGTAGAAATAAGCCCAGGCAGTATGCAAAATTTTATGTGACTTTTTTTGAGCTGTTTTTGGTGACTTAATTGACGGGTAAAACCGTCCGATCAGTTGAATAATTTGCAATTTGCCATAAATAATTTCAGGGAGAGGTTCAATGCTGGAATTCAGCATAAGAGTGGAAAAGAAGCAAAAGCTTTTGCATCCAATCAATCAAGAGAAGAGAGCCATCATCAGGAGTCTTTTTTAAGCAATTACAGTGAAGTAGTAGTAGAAAGTTCCTCAGGAAATGGACATGTTTCTCCTTCGCTTGGACTTAAAGAAGAAGAGAATCATCAATCCCAAATAATAACTCATCGTCCTTGCAATAACCAAAGTTTAGGAGGTAGTTTTACCTCAACTACACTTGAGAGTCATGATAATGATCCTGACCAACAAAATTTGCAGCATTTCCATGGCAAAGCTGAAGCTGGCTGCAGCAATAGGTCAATAGGGGCTGCGATGTCTATCAGGGATAATGAAGTAATACGAATGGTTGAACAAAGGGAAGGTTGTAATGACTTTTCAATTTATTGGGAACAGGATGATGATCAACAAACAATAGAAAGTGATTCCCACCAACAAGCAGAAGTTGGTCAAGATTGGGTAAGTGACGTATCTCGCCCTCGCAGCGAGTGGCATGATCTCAGGCAAGCAAGATACGAGGAGATGCTTGATCCTTTCTCAGATAATAACAATGACATACGTGAACTCCTTCAAAGGTACGAAACTCAACACTCTTGTATATAGAAAGAATCCTTGAATGAATACTTGAAATTTGGTCAAAATGTGTGGGGTTAATGCGCCAAACCCCACACAATACCCTTGTGCGCCAAACCCCCTTGTGCGGTATGCAAATTCTGTACACTAGCCCATTGTGCTTCAAATTATGCTTTAAAACATCGTGTGTTATAATTAATGATGCATGCAATACCTTGAAACGACAAACGTAATTGCCGGTAAACATGTCTCTTTAATGTTGCGATTAATCATGCACTTATGTTTGTATAATTAAAAAAAATACTAAAGGCACATGCTTTACCAAAACTTAAATTTGTTATTCTAGAGCTTCGTGCATGACTAATCATCATAACATAAATGATTTAACATTTTATTTGAATCGCGAAGGGGTTTGACGCATCAAACACCCAAATTTGCAGCTCTAGCCGACAAGAGGCGTGCTTAATAAAAATAGAGTGGGCCATTTATCCTTAGTGTTGATATGCTTTTCTTCTATGTGCAGGAAAAGTGTTTCAAACTTTCTTTCTGGAAGCCTGAGAGACAAAATAGATCAGATGATGATATCTCGTACACAGAGCCAACCAGTTCAGGTGAATAGAGACATGCAGGAAAAAGCAAAAGAAGAAACAGTGTTGCAAGATGAGGATAGGGAGTTGGAGGACCTAGTTCATGTTGAAGACGAAGAAGAACAATATAAAGAAGACATATATGAAGGTGAAAGCCAATTTCAAGAACCCGATGATGGAAGTGGAGAAGATGTTCAGTTTGCATCTACATCCTTATCACAATCTCAGTGTGCTACTTTTTGTTCACAAAGGTCATATCCACCCTGTTGCACATGCCATCCTTCACCTGTGAGTGGGTATTATTTATCTATCAAATCTATCTATTGAACGATTTGCTAATCATCTTTTGAATTTCTGGTAACTCAGACAAATGTGATCTTGCATTGACAGGAAATAGAAATTATATATGAATTAAGGGGGCATATGGAACAACTTCATCAAGAAATAGCTGAACTGAGAAGTTCAATAAAGAGTTGCATGAAGTCACAAGCAAAATTACAACGCTTAATAAAGGAGGATTCAGCAGCTCTAAGCCATTCAGGTGAGCTTAGAGGGCAGTTTTTGTAGATTCCACCACACCTGTTTATTTTCGGTACAAAGAGGGAAAGAATTTGACCAGTTTATAGATTCGTAATTTCATAGACATGACTTTGTTCTGTTCTAAAATTAGACATTCGGACTAGGGGGCCAGGCTTGTTATTGACCCGGCTTCTGATCTGCTTGACCCCGACCAAGTCACACCTAAGCCCCACTCAGTTGCGCTCAGTGCTTTCTAGGATACTGCATATTTGTATATATCATATCCGCCCCAACACTGATATTAATGTTGATGTTTTTTTATAAATGGCAGATCAAAAAAGTAGGAGGGATTCAAGCAGTAAGCATCCTAGTGATGGGAATTGCTGCATTTGCTATGAGATGAAAGTTGATTCTCTCTTATACAGGTAAACTATAAGGGGTACTTCACTATGTAATAGAAACAAAGCAATATTGTTTTAATGTGTTCTTATGCTTACTAGTAATTGGTGTGAACTTTTCAGGTGTGGGCATATCTGCACCTGCTTCAAGTGTGCCCATGAGCTGGCTTGGGGCAGTGGGAAGTGTCCGGTATGCCATGCACCAATAATAGACGTTGTACGTGCTGTATATGCTCATTCATGAGGAGAGCATCATCAACAAGTTCGTGTCCCAGTGGCTCCTTATTTCTCACTATCCAATGAATATCTAGCTGGTAGTCGTTTTTATAGGTTTTCTGCACCCTTACAGCCCGAAACGAGTTTTGAAATCTGGGCCAGAGCGTATTAATATTAGAATATCAAATATGGATAGGAACTTAAAATGTAACCAGTAACATTCTAAGGGTTATAGTGATCCCCAATAAAAAAAAGTTGAATACGGAGTATTTGTTCTTCTTTAAGATAAATTGAATTTAGATGAATATTTGATCTTTCTTCCAATAAAAAAGTTTTGTGGTACAAAAATAAAAGCAACTAATACAATACTAAAATACCAAATTCAATAAGTGAAAATGAGAATATCTTTTAAGTATCTTTGACGATTGAGTAGTTCATTCTTCACTTATAAAATTTGTTTTAGCCTCCTCTAATTTAATTTAATTTAATTTAATTTAATTTTATATAATAGGTTATTTGAATCACTTTAATCTTTAAAGTATCACATTGTATATACGGATCAAATTGAATTTATTGAAGTCTATTTATTATATATAAGAAAAGAAATAGTTCATTAAAAGACAATTGTACCCTTGATGAATCCTATGTGTCCTCCTCCCCACATTTCACTCATTTGATATTAAAATGACACGTGGTGGATTGTTTACATTCTACTTCCGAATAATTAATACTACATGAATTAATAATATACAGAACAACATTAATTAAGAGAAGCGAGGCCAAGAGATATTTGTGGGGCTCAATGTATACAAACTATCTTTTTTTCTTTAAAATGTTATACTAGTAGCTTTTTCATTTTTACTCTAAATTATACAAAAATTATATCAAAATTCATCATTTTTATGATATTTCATATAACACCAATATTGCATATGTAAAATTTTAAACAATAAGAAGGTTTATTAAACAACCTTTTTATTTTCAACCATTACAGATTATTCTGTATTAAATAAGTTGTTCTCGATCTATTACCAAAATAAGGATAATGGGAAAAATATAACTTATTAAATTTTTACTAATGAACCAAGGTGAGGATTTTTCTATTTGAACAAAAAAAGTGGCATCAATTCATTAATGGGGCCCATTGTATAAATAAATTCTATTTTCTTTAAAGTGTTAGAACTTTTTCAGTTTTTCTCTGATTTTTATAAAACATATACCAAAATTCATAATTTTTTACGATCTTTCATATGACACCAATAATGCATATATAAAATTTGTAAGGAATAATCGTATTTAGATTTTGATGATGCTAGGCTTATTAGGATATTAGAGTACTCCATTAGAAAATATGTATTAGAATTTTTCCAAGTGTTATAACTTTTTTAGCATTTATCTAATTTTTATAAAAATTATATCAAAATCCATAATTATTTACGATCTTTCATATAACACCAATATTGGATGTATAAAATTTAAAAAAAAATGAAGGATTATTAAACAATCTTCCTATTTTCCAACCTCAATACAGAATGTTCCGTATTAAATAAAGAAAATAATTCATGATATAAAAAATATATCAAAATTCATTATTTTTAACAATCTTTCATATGACATCAATATTCAATATATAAAATTTAAAAAATATATGAAGGTTTAATAATGCTTTCATTGCTTCTCTAATTTAAAATATATATATATATATATATATATATATATATATATATATATATATATATATATATATATATCAAATTTCATAAATCTTAGTATTGTCATTGTGAATTCTCTCTCATATGTAGTGCTTTTGGGGTATTAGAAGATAAGTTTGCTAACAATTAAGCATGAAATCTTTCTCTCTCATAAGTAGTCTTCTAAGTAATAGTTGTGCGTGAAACTTTTCTCTCTCACATGTAGTTCTTTTTAATACTATCGTATAAGACAAGTCGGTTAACAATTGAGCGGAAGAATTTTCTCTCTCGTATGTAGTGTTTTTAGGTATAAGAAGAAGATTAGCTGACTAACAATTGAGCAGAAGAATTTCTCTCCCATATGTAGTGGTTTTAGGTACAAGAAGATAAACTTGTCAATAATTGAGCGGGAGAAATTTCTCTATCACATGTAGTGCTTTTAGGTATTACAAAATAATTTTGCAAACAATTGAGCATATAATTGAGCGTGATAATTTTCTCTCTTATATGTAGTGCTTTTAGGTAGAATACGATAATCCAACTAAGAGTTGTGTGACAGATTTTCTCTCTCAAATGTAATAGTTTTAGATATAAGAAGATCAACTTGCTAATTAATTAGCGGGACTAATTTCTCTATCATGTGTAGTGTTTTAGGTATTAGAAGATAAACTTGCTACCGATTGAGCAGGCAAATTGAGCGAGATAATTTTCTCTCTCATATGTAGTGCTTTTAGGTGATAGAAGATATGGAGTAGAAGATAAGCTTGCTAACAATTGAGCGGAAGAAATTTCTCTCTCATATGTAGTGTTTTTAGGTATAAGAAGAAGATAAGCCGACTAACAATTGAGCGGAAGAATTTCTCTCCCGTATGTAGTGGTTTTAGCTACAAGAAGATAAACTTGCCAATAATTGAGCGGGAGAAATTTCTCTATCATATGTAGTGCTTTTAGGTATTAGAAAATAATTTTGCAAATAATTGAGCAGATAATTGAGCAGGATAATTTTCTCTCTTATATGTAGTGATTTTAGGTAGAATACGATAGGCCGGCTAACAATTGTGTGAAAGATTTTCTCTCTCAAATGTAGTAGTTTTAGATATAAGAAGATCAACTTGCTAATTATTTAGCGGGACAAATTTCTCTATCATACGTAGTGTTTTGGGTATTAGAAGATAAACTTGCTACCGATTGAGCAGGCAAATTGAGCGAGATAATTTCCTCTCTCATATGTAGTGCTTTTAGGGGATAGAAGACAGAAGATAAGCTTGCTAACAATTGAGCGGATTAATTTTCTCTTATATGTAGTTCTTTTAAGTATAAAAATCACCGGCTTACGATTGAGAAGGATAATTCTCTCTCTCATATGTAATGTTTTTTAGGTATGAGGAGATAAGAATATAAGTTTTCTAACAATTGAGGGGAAGAACGTTTTCTCTCATATGTTGTGGTTCTTTTTAAGTATAAGATAATCCGGATAACAATTTAGCAAGAAAATTTATCTCTCATATGTAGTGCTTTTAGGTATAAGATAAGTTGAGGAAGAGATCCAGCCCAGCTGGTCGCCAACTCACTCCCCCTTACGGGAGGTCTCAGGTTCGAAACTCAATGGAGTGAGTTTCAACCTAGCTTACTCCAGGCCCCCCAGGCCCCCTCCCCCAGACGCCCCCTGGAGTAAAAAGAAAAAAAGTATAAGATAAGTTAGCTAACAATTGAGCGAGAGTACTTTCTCTATTATAAGAAAAGACATGTAGTGCTTTTAATTATAAGAAAAGATAAGTTGACAAACAATTGAGCGGAATATTTTTCTAACTCATATGTAGTGCTTTTAGATATAATAAAAAGAAGAGAAGCTTGCAAATAATCCGTATCCATTTTCCTATGCAAATAATTATGACCAAAATAAGGATAATGGTTGAAAATGTGACTTATTATTTTTGGGAATTATAATTATGTTTTATGTAGTATTTAGTTACATTTTTGTTCACAAATGTCTATTAGAGAAGCTTTTTTTTGTTAGTACAGGGGTTCTGGCACTACAAAAAAATTCGCCTGTAGTCACGGACCGTAGTCACGGATTTGGTCCGTGACTAGTTAGTCACGGTTCTAATCACGGTGTAGTCACGGAATCGTTAAAAAAAAAAGTAGTCACGGATTTGTCCGTGACTACGTCCGTGACTAGAGGTAGTGACGGACCTAGTCCGTGACTAAAGTGTTCCGGCCAACCCATTTTGGCCTCCGGCGGGATTTTTTTTAAATTTGAAATTAGTCACGGACAAATCCGTGACTACGTCCGTGACTACAAAATTTATATATGCAGCCTCGGCTTCCTTCAACAAAATCACACCTTCTACGTACTCCAAATAGAATTCCAGATAGAATTGAAGGATGTAATCTACCCATCTCATATCATTTTTCCTGTTTTTGCAGATAAGGTATGTAATTTGAATTACGTATTTTTTGTAAATTAGTTAAATATGTAAATTTGTTAATAAATACATATGTAAGTATATATATTATTCAATATAATATTGGCAATACATATGTTATTAATTTTAAAATATAGGATTAAAATTACGTAAATTAGTTAAATACGTATGTAAGTATATATGATTAAATATAATTTAAATGCATATTATTAATATTAGTTAATAAATGTAAGTATTATTTAATTCAAATGACTTTATATATATATATATATATATATATATATATATATATATGATTAAATATAAGTATATGATTTCTTTATATTGGCAATTATTGTTAATTAAGGCGGCCTAATTTAGGATTAATAATGATTTAAATTAGGGTTAGTTAATTTAATTTAAATGTGTTTATTATATATATATGCTCAAATTATTGAATTTGCTCATATTATTTAATTTAGTACGTAAATTGTTAAATGTGCATTATTAATAAGATTAAGATGTTGATAATTTTAGTATTGTGGATTAAATTAATGTCATTAACGTATTGTGCATTGTTGGTAGAAAATGTGTTGAGTAGAAAATTCGGCAGCAATTCAGTACAGTAAAAGTGACTTATCCAATACAACAAGAGGGGCGGCCTATTTATAGGCGCTTACAAGAGGTTTCTTGAATACTAATGGGCTTGGCCCAATTAAATAACTAAAACAAGAAGCCTGATCCCAGGCCAATGGGCTGGTCGGGCCCAGAGTTAAACTAATCAATCCAAGGACCATATTATCTAGTCGGACCGTGTGCTGGGCCTGGTTCGCGCCCGAGCCCAGGCATATTGGGTCGATAGTATTGGACCTGGCCCATTATCCCAACACGAGTCCCCCACTCCCCTAGTCGAGTAGCAGACTCGGCTAGAAGGGAGTAGTCAAGTTGATCAACGATCGGTTCGTCTATCGGATCGGCTGGCTAGTCGCACCTCCATTGTAGCAGTCTGGGGTGCTCGTCAACGTAATCGTTGGCCCGTAGGGGGGCCATACTTTGCAGGCCTTGATCGGCCCCTTTGCTTTGCTCCCTACTGCTTGCGAAAGGACGGGGGTCTCGCTGTAGCCGTATATTGACCATGCGACGGATATACATGGGCTTTAGCCGCACACCC